ATGAAAAACGCGATCGGAACGTTCCGTCGAGCTTCCAGGCGTAAGCCACTAGCCGGAAAAATTATACGTTGAAAAGAAAAAAGACCTTTGTATTCATTCGAACTCGAGTGCCACAATATGCATCACAAGACCTGCGAGGCAAGCTCAACATGGCAGGTGTTTTCACTGCTTGTCGTTGTTGTGTGGTGGCACAGAATTCATCAACGTAGGTAATCTTCGAATTACGATACGAAATGGTTTGTTTTGACGGTGCTCAAGCTCCTTTAGCGGGCCTGGGCAGTGGCGCGGCGCCCTTGAAGTGCCGATCACATCGAATCCACAACAGACGACAGGCGTTATTCTGATCAACGTCACCTTCATCTTGCCCACAGAAAACTGCTGCTTTCCTGTCTCTTCCAGGGCGGAAGAAAACCGGTACGGTAAACTCGACCACAGGAGGCTGGGAACCACAGAAATCTTCAAGAGAATCCCAAGCCGAGTCCCACCTTCCCGATTTCAATTCTTCATTCCTGGGCTGACCATGCAAAATGGAACGCCTGCATTCAGATTTACGACCCACGGACCAAGTTCTGCCACTGCTGTTCCCGCTCAGCTTGTGCATGATAATCTTTTGGCAGCACGAATTCATTCTCATACGAAGTAGATCTTCCCGCATCTCGATTTCCCATCCTCGCCATCCTGACTTCCAGCCGACGGGGCGCGCATTCTTAATGTGTGCCTACCGATTTTTTGCAGCAAAGTTCGAATCCGGGTCCACCCAATGATACACCTACCAGCCCTGTCCATCGTATTTCATTTTCTGGGGATTGGATCCCACAGCTTGGACCTGTGAGGACCTGATCGGCCCTTTTCCTTGACCTCCCATGACCCGGATTTCCCATCACCACTCCCCCGCCCGACAGAATGCACTGCAACGCTGTGAAGGTGTCGAACCTCTCGTCTGCTTTCAAGGTGTCAACACCGTCACCGAGCAACTGCCATTTGATCGAACTGACTGCCATTCGGGATGAACTTTCCCCGCCATTTGCGCTGGAGGAATACTCGATCCACGTCGGGCCAGGCCTTCACAGCCGTCCTGCCGTCCCGGTGATGAGGCCGAGGTGGAGAGCTCTCCCCGCAAACGGCTTTACTGACGTAGCGGCATGACACTCTACAGGGAGCCACGAATTGATCCACCGTTTGGTTGTCATCTAAAGTGATTTTTACAAATGAACTTATATATATCAACCCCACAAGGTCATCCATGACTGCTCTTTTCCCCCCTTCCTTAACCGTCGTGCGTGGTGATCTTCCACATCGTCAGCTCACACAACGGTCGGCCTCCTGCGTTGTAACACAGCACAACACGAGTCGGCAATAAACATCACGCAGCTTGTTGGTCTGAGCAACCGGACTGCATGCGAGCATGAAGCTCAGTTCTATTATTGCCTCCCTGGCTGGTGGCAGTCTTGCCACTGCAGGTGCGGTCGGGCACTCAGAGAAGGTATGTCTGTCGAGCGAGTCAGATGAACGCCTCTCCTGTCACTACTTCTTCCCCCTTTTCCCTACCTTCCCAACTGCAACGCGGCGTGTTTCCTTTCTGCGTCTCCAGTTATTCGTAATTCCCAGGAGTGTGGAACTGAAATAGATCTCACTCTGCGAAGCATTACCCGCTGCACATTCGCTTTACCCAGATTGAAGTAGCCTCCCCTTTTTATGTTGCTTTTGCTTTAACGTTGCATGATCGCAACCCACCAGCATGCAACTCAGAATTGCAGCCTACTGGCTACTACCCGTGCTTGCAGCCAGAGCCGCACCCGCTAACATATATAATCAGCTCAACAAGAGAGACTTATCGACGTCACCTCCAGTCTATCCTTCGCCATGGATGAACCCCGAGGCGGATGGGTGGAAGGAGGCGTACGCCAAGGCTCGGGACTTTGTCTCGCAGATGACACTGCTGGAGAAGGTTAACTTGACGACGGGTGTTGGGTAAGTCAAATCTTCTAGAACTCTCAAGATGCCCAATCCAGGCTGACGTTTCAATAGATGGGCAGCAGAGCAGTGTGTAGGCCAGGTTGGAGCCATCCCTCGCCTGGGACTTCGGAGTCTTTGTATGCACGATGCTCCTCTTGGAATCCGAGGCTCAGATTATAACGCGGCTTTCCCATCGGGGCAGACCGTAGCTGCCACCTTCGACCGAGGCTTGATCTACAGACGAGGTTATGCCATCGGTCAGGAAGCCAAGGGCAAGGGTATCGATGTCATTCTTGGACCCGTGGCAGGTCCCATAGGGCGGATGCCCGCTGCGGGAAGAAACTGGGAAGGTTTCTCCCCGGATCCGGTACTTACAGGAATCGGGATGTCCGAGTCTATCAAGGGCATTCAAGACGCAGGCACAATTGCTTGCGCCAAGCATTTTGTTGGCAACGAACAGGGTGAGTTGAAGAAGAAGGGTTCGAAGCATTCGCTTCACAATCGAGAGCTGACAAGTCAACAGAACACTTCAGACAAGTGGGAGAAGCCCGCGGGTATGGTTTCAATATCAGCGAGACTCTTTCTTCCAACATCGATGATAAGACGATGCACGAGCTTTATATTTGGCCCTTTGCCGATGCCGTTCGTGCTGGTGTGGGGTCTGTGATGTGCTCCTACCAACAAATCAACAATTCTTACGGCTGCCAGAACTCCAAGGCTTTGAACGGTCTTCTCAAGGACGAGCTGGGATTCCAGGGTTTCGTCATGAGCGATTGGCAAGCCCAGCACACAGGTGCAGCAAGCGCGGTTGCTGGCCTGGACATGTCGATGCCCGGAGACACCGAGTTTAACACAGGCCTCAGTTTTTGGGGAGCCAATCTTACCTTGGCTGTACTCAATGGCACAGTCCCGGCTTATCGGATCGACGACATGGCTCTCCGCATCATGGCTGCATTCTTCAAGGTACACAAGACAGTCGACGGCTTGGAACCCATCAACTTCTCCTTCTGGACACTTGACACCTATGGTCCCATCCACTGGGCCGCCAACAAGGGATATCAACAAATCAACCATCACGTTGATGTCCGTGCTGACCACGGAAATCTCATTCGGGAGATCGGTGCCAAGGCGACCGTCCTCCTGAAGAACACCGGATCGCTTCCACTAAAGAAGCCAAAATTCCTTGCAGTGATTGGCGAGGACGCCGGAGCCAATCCCAACGGGCCCAATTCATGTGCCGATCGGGGCTGTGATAATGGAACTCTGGCCATGGGCTGGGGTTCGGGCACGGCCAACTTCCCCTATCTTGTCACCCCTGATGCTGCTCTGCAAGCGCAGGCGCTCCAGGATGGCTCACGATACGAGAGCATACTGACGAACTATGCCACATCGCAGACAAAAGCTTTGGTGTCGCAAGCTAATGTCACTGCCGTCGTTTTCGTCAACGCCGATTCCGGTGAAGGCTATATCAATGTTGATGGCAATATGGGTGACCGCAAAAATCTGACTCTTTGGAAGAACGGCGACAGCTTGGTCAAGAACGTGTCGAGCTGGTGCCCGAACACCATTGTGGTCATCCACTCTGTGGGACCTGTCCTTCTGACGGAATGGTATGACAACCCCAACATTACAGCTATTCTCTGGGCTGGTCTTCCTGGACAGGAATCTGGCAACTCGATCACCGATGTCCTCTACGGCAAGGTTAACCCCTCTGGCCGCTCTCCGTTTACCTGGGGAGCCACTAGAGAAAGCTACGGTGCAGATGTCCTGTACACACCAAACAACGGTAACGGTGCACCTCAGCAAGACTTCTCCGAAGGAGTTTTCATTGATTACCGCTACTTTGACAAGGCAAACAGCACTGTCATTTATGAGTTTGGTCACGGTCTCAGCTACACAACATTTGAGTACAGCAACATTCGGGTTGAAAAGTCAAATGCAGGCCCTTACCGGCCCACGACTGGCACCACGGCACCTGCACCCACGTTTGGTAACTTCTCAACCGATCTCAACGACTACGTCTTCCCGAGTGACGAGCTTGAGTATATCTACCAGTACATCTATCCCTACCTCAACACCACAGACGCCAAGAACGCCTCTGCGGACCCTTATTACGGCAAGACGGCGGAAGAATTCCTCCCACCTCATGCAACCGACGATACCCCACAACCCCTACTTCGCTCATCGGGCGGCAACTCCCCAGGTGGAAACCCCCAGCTCTACGACATCATGTACACCATCACTGCGGACATCACCAATACAGGCTCAATTGTCGGTGATGAGGTGGTGCAGTTGTATGTTTCCCTTGGCGGGCCGAACGATCCCAAGGTTGTATTACGGGACTTTGGCAAGCTTCGAATCGAGCCGGGCCAGACAGCACAGTTCCGGGGTACTCTGACACGGAGAGACTTGAGTAACTGGGATACTGGTCTGCAAGATTGGGTGGTGAGCAACTATACCAAGACGGTCTATGTGGGTAGGAGTAGCAGGAAGTTGGACTTGAGTGCTGTTTTGCTGTAATTGTGCTGCACGAATGACTGAAGGAGGTTTTTATCGACATGGCAGCCTTGTGTAGTTTTATCCCGTTAATACAGATACTTATATTGATATCCAACCATTCCTTCTGTTCAGGCAGACCTTCTCATGGACTCTGTGGATGATCCCGTGCTCTAACCGTCTTCACTGTGCGGAATAATATCGCTTGCAAGTTAGTTAGGTTCTCCTTCAACCGCAAGAAATGCTGTTTAGGAACAAGGCAGATTACTTCGTACGAGGTATCTCTAACCGGGTTTGAAGCATAGAATCAGTCATTACAGACACATCGTACACAGAGATAATGCAACTCCTCTTGTGTTAGTAGGAACTTCAGCTTATGTGTAAGACAGAGAGGGTGATAGCAGCAGCAGCTTATTGTTTGGCTTACCTTCCAGGTTATTCACCTAGGAAATGAATCTACAGGGAAGTAGAAATAGAATCTGGACAAAAAAAAAGCACATGATAAACTACAAGAAGAAATATAAGCTGTTATAATGGGCAAAAACAGTGGGCTCAATCGGGGATCGAACCCGAGACCTCGCACAAGCACCTGTTTTCAAGGTGTGGATTGAACAACCCGAAGCACGAATCATACCACTAGACCATTGAGCCACTTGTGATTGGATATCGGCGGAAGTGGGTTTGTATGTTGACAAACCTGTCATCCACCATCTCCAGGCATGATCTTGACCTTGGAAACCTCTCTTCACACATGGTTAGCATCAACCTTGATCAACCTTCCAATTCCTATCTTCCTCCGTAGATTAACCCCGAGTCATTTGCCAACGGCTTGAACCTCGAGATTTATTCATGGCCGCAGAGTAGGTATGTGCCGTGGGGGGTTCCAACCAAATTAGATGCCCCTGAGACTTCTCCCGGCTTATATCCACCAACAACACAAGCGAAAACGCCATCATCTCATACTGGCAGAAATCACGACAGCGTCAAAGGGCTCCCGCGTGCAGGATCTAGGTGTCAAAACAGTCTGAAATGCCACCCATTCATTGCCACCATCGACTTTTTCACATAATCCCATTACCATGATACGTACCCCGCGTTCTGGGCAGGACGGCGTCTTGACAAGCTCTGACAAGACGGGTGTGGCGGGCATGGCTTGCCTGGGTGCTGCACGGTTGGTGATGTCCTGCTTGATTACTTGCGTGTAAGCAATTACGTAGAGGGATATCAGAGATGCATGTGGGCCGGCCATTTCCGGCTCAGCGGTTTACGTGGGTTGTACACAGCAACGTTGGGACGCTACCACTGAACTCCAGAACGTTGACCTCGTCTAACCTCCGGTGCTGCATCTGTGGAAGTCTTCCCCACGGCCGGCACAACGGCACAAACTTTACCAGGTAAAGGGTCTGTCACGCCATTCTGCGTTCTTATGTCAAGATGCATTGGACCCTTGAGGGCGGAGAGCTATCGCAGACGGCGAGAGTCTGGACGGTGGAAAAGAGAAAACAGATAAAAAGGAGGGTGTGAAGCACGCTGATCATTGACTTCATCATCTTGCCACCTCTCAGACTCGGTCGGTCTCTGGCCTTGTTTATATACACTCTACTTCCCGTCATCTTGTTTTCCAGACGTAGGCACACCATCACAAGCAAGCAAGTCAGCCCAAAGCGAAGGAGCCATGGCCATCTCCACAACACCTAGCTCCCTCATGCTGGAGAAACGGCCCGCCGAAACGACCTCCTCTATCACAGCGCCAGATTCCGCTTCTTCTTCTACCGGGGGAAAGGTCGAGTCTGAGTCTGTCGATGATGTCGATCTTGTGGGCAAGAATCCGTTTCTCAACCCCGCGGTAGCATCCCACTGGAAACAGGTTTACGAGGATGCGCAGTATGAGTGTCGGCATGTATTCGACCCTACCCTGACGTGGACGGAAGAGGAGGAGAAGGTTGTTATTCGACGGCTGGACTTCAGGGCTTGTGCATGGGCCGTATGTGTCCCTCTCACCAACCTACCCTCAAGGAGGTTTGCTAATGGTCCACAGTGCGTCATGTTCTTCGCTCTCCAAGTCGATCGCGGGAATCTGGCACAAGCATTGGCAGATAACATGCTGGACGATCTCGGACTAAACACCAATGGTCCGTTCGTTCCCCCTTTTGGTCTTGACCATCAAGCCCACTAGGTAGCTGACTCCAACAAAACAACCAGATTACAACTTCGGCACAGTGGTCTTCCTCACCTCATTCCTCCTAGCCGAACTCCCCTCGCAACTCATCTCCAAGAAAATCGGTCCCGACCGCTGGATCCCCATCCAGATCGTCCTCTGGTCCGTCGTCGCCGTCTCCCAATGCGCCTTGAAGGACCGGTCTGGGTTTCTGGCGACTCGCGCCTTACTCGGCCTGTTGGAAGGGGGTTTCATCCCCGACATCGTTCTCTGGTTGTCCTACTTCTACACAGGCAGGGAGTTGCCCATCCGTCTCAGGTTCGCCTCCTCCCTTCATCTATCCAAAAAAAGAAATCTAACTGTTAAAAAAGCTACTTCTGGACAACCCTCTCCTCAACAACAGTAATCACCTCCCTCCTAGCCTTCGCCCTCCTCCATTTGCGAGGAGTCAACGGCTGGGCCGGGTGGCAATGGCTTTTTCTCGTCGAAGGGCTCATCACTTTGACGATTGGCATCGCCTCCTTCTTCATGATGCCCGCCTCCGTCGTCCAGACAAAAACCTGGTTCCGCCCCAAGGGGTGGCTAAACGATCGCCAAACAGCCATCGCGGTAAACAGAGTGTTGAGAGACGACCCGTCCAAGGGAGATATGCACAACCGCGAAGCTATTACTCCAGCACATCTCTGGGAGGTGCTGAGGGAGTTTGATTTGTGGCCGCTTTATGTGCTGGGGGTGGTGGCGTATATACCCCAGGGGCCGGTGAATTCGTATTTCACGCTTACGTTGAGGAGTTTGGGGTTTGATCAGTTCAAGACGAATTTGTTGACTATTCCTTCTGTGAGTTTTTTTCTTGTTGGTTTGTTTTGCAAGGGGAGATGCTAATAGGAAGTAGTATGTTTTCCATATTATTACACTGCTGTTGGTGACGAGACTGTCGGAGTGGCTGAATGAACGAACGCTCGTGGCAATGCTGCAGAATCTTTGGACTTTGCCCTGTTTGATTGCCCTGCGGTTTTGGCAGGGGGTGGTGGATGATGCATGGGGGACGTATGCGCTTATTACTGTGCTGTTGTCGTATCCTTACTGCCGTATGCATCGTTTCCCCTTTCTTTGGATTTAAGATGTTGACCTTGTGGACAGACGCGATCCTTGTGGCGTGGACATCGAAGAATGCCAATAATGTCGGCACAAGAACTGTGGCATCGGCTTTGTACAATGTGAGTTACTGCCCTTTGCTCTCTTTTTGAAGAAGACCTGACTGATAGGGAGATAGATATCCGTCCAAGCGGGACATGTTGCCTACTCGTTTATCTATGTCAATAACGACAAGCCGTACTACCGTAACGGCAATACAAAGCTTTTGGCGATTAATATTGTGTCGATTGTTTTGTTCCTTCTTGCGAAAGTGTATTATATCTGGAGGAACAAGCAAAAAGAAAGACAGTGGAACCAGATGACGGAGGCGGAGCAGGTGGATTATATCAAGAATTCGGAGGTGAAGGGGTGTAAGAGGTTGGATTTCAAGTTTGCTCACTGATTGCGGAACCACCATGCCTTCTGCAAACACTTCGCCCAAAAACCAAAGTTACAGGCTGCCCAGATAGATTGAGAATACAGAAACATATTCAGGACCTGTAACCCCGCCAAGGGCCATCCGGAACAACCTCGCTCTCCAACCTGTGGATAATATTCTGGTACATTCCTTGCTGTACAGCGTCGTCCTCCAGGTCTACCCTGACCCCTGCCTTAACCCAGTTATTTAATCTCAGACACGAAATGATTGCTTCTTGATACGCCGGTGTATAACCTTGCCATAACTTGACCCTCTCCTCTAGGGCGGATAAACTGATCTCGGTGGCTGGGGTGTCCAGCGGCGACCACTCGTGGAGTTCTATGAGAAGTATGCCTAGGTTCAAAATACCGGGATTTGAATGCATGACGTCCATGTTCGATGTTTCGATGGTTTGCGGGAACTCGTCGAACGAGATATTCATGTACGGCTTGTGCAGGTCTGGGAGGCCATTGGGTTTACAAAGAAAGAATAGGTGATTCTTGTTCCACTGCTTGCCGAGCCAGGGGCTCTCGTGGAGTTGTAAGAGAGAGTAGCTTAGGGTCCGGGCCAGAATTCGTATATCGGCCTCAGGAGGTCTGTTTTTCGGATCGGCGAGCCATGCTTTGAGAGATCTTGCGGTCTCCAGACCACCAGGAGGATGAAACCTTTTATCGCACGGGTGCGTCCTCCAGACCTTAGAACATTGAGTCTGTGCCAGGGATGGATCCGCTCTCTCTACGACAAGCGTCCAGCAACGGGGAGTATCCGCAAGCCGGGTTGTGGCGACGCATATTTGAGTCACTGATTCCTTGTCCTTGTACATGCCTTGGACTTTCCTAGCGTGGATGGAATTAGTGAGACACTCTTTCCTGGGGAAATAGGGGATATCTGTTTCGGTGATTTTTGACGAACCTTGCATCGATTGGGGCCGTCACCAAAGCCTCTACCCACTGCCTGGCCATTTGTCCCGCGACAGTAGAAATGATGAAATGAAAGCCGACCTCAAGGATATCTTGTGAGAGAGTCCCGGGACATACGCAGTCGGCAAGTGAGAAACGAGCCTCGTGGGCGGAGAGAAGCGCAGTGTTGGCCGAAACGCAGTTGCAATCCCATCTGTCGTGTAGGGAGGCAAAGAGACATTTAGTTATCTCCCGGACTGGAGTGTAGGATGGCAGCGGGCCAACCACCGGGGACGGGGGGCTCAGAGTTAGTCGTCCAGGCGTAGCCTTTTTCATAAGTTTCTCCAGTTCAAGCCTCCAATAGTCCAGGCCCTTAAGGCATTTATTCAACCCACGTTCACTGCGGAAGAACTTGAAACGCTCTGAAAACTCCATCTGAGACACGTTATAATCACGCTGAAGCTCTTTCAGCTTCTGGATCATCTTAAGTGGATCCTGTTAATGAAGATGTCAGATGGCTATTCAAGGACCGGGGTGTGTCAACTAGGGCACGAAGTCTTACCTTGCGTTGCAATTGCTCGATATTCAAGAAGCGACTTTTCGTCACCAGACGGTATAGCGCATGCATCACGCCCTTGATGATTCTTTGAAAGGCCTCATAATCACCGGGACGAGGAAAAAATATTTGCAAAGCCCTAGAAAGCTCAGCATGAGTGTTTTCAGTCCACTGCACCAAGTCTCGTGTCTTAAAATCCTCCTTTTCTGCTTGTGAGAGCGTGGACAGACAACTGATGAGATTGTCCAACTCCTCTTCGACCGACTTGGTCAAGTGCTTCAGCTTGTGAATGAAAGGGGGAATGTCTTGAGCCGATTTCTTCGAGGAGGCCGCGTGCTTGACGGCCCCGATCTGTCTTCCATAAGCCTTTGAGACCGCGATGAAGAGGGGGATAACACCGAGAACAACGCCAGTGATCTCCAGGCCTGACATTGCGTGTGGCCGTGGGTGGTTCTGCTCAGGCAATGTCGGTCCAAGCCTTTCTCC